GTCTCTCCACTATCGCCTTTTTCAATTCACTTCCTTTTGCAAAGAAACTCACTTTCGGCTTTTATCTCCTCTCGGAAGACTCTTTTTCTTTTCTCTTATGTGGCCCCACTCTTTTTTCTTTCTCACCGATCACCTCACTATTTTCTCTCATTTTCTCTAACTCTCTCACTCTCTTTTCTTCCTCATTTTTCAATTTGATTTGGTCCTCATACATTTGTGTCAGTGTTAATGGCACAAGAGTGATAGACTTTTCCTCTTTCACAAAACTATATTTATTTTTATACCCATCATGCATTATTTTCCTATCATATTGCCAAGTTCCATACGATAATTAATTTTTTAATATTTACAACAAAACTACATTAATTTAACTAATGATATATTTAACATTATAAAATAACATAGTTTAATCTTATATATTTTTTGTACCTCCCTTTGTTAAGTTATTCATAGATTTAATTGTTAAAATCACATAAAGAGAAAAATAACGAGCTTACAACAATAAAGAGAGGTGTAGTCGAGCTTCCAATTCGATTTCTCCAGAACGGTAGAAACGACACTACGATAGAATAATAGATTTAAGTAAAACTTATGTCAATTTGATTAAGTTGGGATTTGACTGAAAATTAGAAATAGAAAAATCAAATTTTGGGTTTAGGCTAAATTAATTAGTTAACAAATTTATTTTAAAAAATAAAAAAAATTTGACTTATTTAAGATGAATAAATTTAAAGAAAAAATTAAGAAAATTAGGTTCTTCTACGATTATTTGAAATTAAGTTCTTATTTGATTCTTTGATTCTTGGTCTAAAATCAAGAATTGAATCAAATCCGTCGACTTTCGATTCAAATACTCGTTTGAATATTTAATTTAAAAAGAATCGCTTGATTCATTTTGTCTATCCCTATGTATGACCTAAAATAACTCTATCATGTATTCAAATACCTAGAAAATATTCCATCACATAATTATAGCGCCCATTTTGTACTCATTTTAATGAGTTATTTTGGACCAAATCTCATTCTCCTACAATACGACTGATAACATAGGACAAGAAGTCAGGCAAATGTCCAAAAAAATAAGAATTGAAAAATACTGCGGAGAGTAAGCTACCAATTTTGCCCTCAGATTCTAATTGGAAATACAGGTGACAGCCACTAATGGGAAGTAAAGGGCATTAATGGAAAGTAAAAAAATTGTAAATGTCACTTCAAAGCTGTATGGCTGGGGAATGAGCTATTGTCAGAGGAAACGTGAAATTGTCTTGCGTGGGGCCCAATATTGTTTGAAAACATTTGAAAAAAATTGGAAAAGAATGGGGGCAAACAAACTCATAATATAGATAGCTTAAGGCTTAAACAAATATCTCTGAAATTTATAGGACCTTATGTGATAATAACGACGAGTTAAATCTATTTATAACTTACCAAAAACAAAATAAGTCACATATACGCAAAATGCTGATGAATCATTCCAATGAGAAGTTAAAATATGACATCAATCAATCAATCAATGCAAAACATTAAAAATAAAAAGAATAAGCCTTGAATCAAAATTGAAAACGAAGGCCATCCCAACACAAGAAGTTTGGCCTGGCATGCTAAAATTAAACAAATAAACAAAATAAAACAAAATTGAGTACTTATCACCCTGAAAATCTATTTGCAAAGAGATATCGAGGATGAACTTCACCTCCCTTGAATGTCTACATGGAGTCCTCTATAAATCCATGGTTTCCCTTGCTAGATATTGTTAATCTCGAGCCACAAATCTTCGATTTGTGAAGACTTTTACGGGTTTTCTCTTTCTAGTTCTCTTCTCCAAGTGGTAATTTCCAGAATAATGAATATTGCCTTTTTTCTTAAGTTATTAAATTTTAAGGCCAAATTGCTTTCAAAGAAGTGGTTAAAGTATAGAAGAAAACAAATTCTTTGCTATCTATTTATACCATGCGATCGTGGGGTTGGGGATCACAAGAGGCTGTGATCGAATGGTACATATTTGCCTTGCAATCGAGGGTTCAATTATAGTCCAACTCATTTTAATCCCTATTTTCAACTTCCCACATAGAATTCCTCCAATTTGCAATTGGATGCACCATTCGTGTTCTTTTCTTTCATTTTTCATTTCTTTTACTTCAAAAGTCGTCCGAGATCGAGTTTTTCCTAAACAAGCACTATACACGTAACAATAATTAATGTAGAATTCTGCCAAACTTTTAAAAGTAAAATTCATATTTTCTAGTTATAATGGAAAATGACTACAGCAATAATCAGGATCACAACACACCAAAAACCGGCTATAATCATAAAGATGATGACAATCGAAAACAGCCTTCCAGTCACCCCAGAACTTGGTTCATTCATCATTAATTGATGGACAAGATCACAAAGGACTCACAGAGGAGCTTGTACTACCAGATCCAGGAGTGGCTTCAGGAGATTCTTTGTTGAAGTAAGGTGACGTGTTGTTTACCCTAAAATGGACAACAAAGCAATTTTTAGCAAGAAATGGAAGTCAGCCTGTAACATTCACACCAATTAACAAATCATCAATTTTCTATTTTTCACTCGTTTCCTGAAACTACGGCATAAAGAAGAGCATCTGTGGAGTTCTACCTAATGCACCAAGCGACAGCATGGAGTATGTCCAAGACCTTTGAGGGGTGATTAGCTTAAGACAAATTAGATGGATAATACTCTCTTACTGGCACAGTAAAGAACTATTGTATCTTCAAAGGATATGAATAGGTGTGTCCTTTCTTATCCTCTAGAGCTTGGAGAAGTATGAACAAGAAGCTTCGAGAAAACTAGGATTCTCTAAATGAGTTGAATAGATTTTTTGATTTTTTTACTCGATCGTTTTTGGTTCCAGTTACCCCTCAATTGTCTACTTCATTTATGAATTCTACTTTTAGATATAGTATTAATATAAATATTTCTAATTATTCCTTGTAATTTGACTCTTTATGATTCTATCATGTCTTTCTCATTCTGTCAAAGTCAATTTAACGGTATAGAAGGCTTTAAAATGAATCCACCTCAATCCAACGTAGTGTTGTCCCAACTACGGAGCTACATAAATTCCCATTTATAATGTAATTCTGTTGAACGCCACACGTTCAATAAGCTATAGTAGAACTTCAATTCAATTGGATTGGGGATCTTTAAATGTAGAAAGTGCCACTTGATTACCTTACTTTGCGCTTCTCCAAAAACCGAGCCAAAGACTTCCTACGAGCCTGTGGCACAGCATCTGAATGAAAGAAATACCTCTGTTATGCATTTGCATAAATTCTACCCAAAAAAAAATTACTCAAACTCCCATACAAATACTGGAAAATCATTTAGAATGACACAGGAAGGTACCTGGTGAAAGGAAGGTAGCCGGTACAGATCTTATCGGTTCTACAACCATAATGTTATTGTCACTACCAGAAGCTCTGGGAGATTTAGAAGCACTAACAGTGGTTAGTGGTATAGGCGTTGAACGACGTAATGTGCCATAAGGCTGACTATCAACAAAACCGTTAGTACTGAACGACCTGGGCATCAATGCTTGAAGTGGAGTTGTCGGGAACGGTGTGGTAGCAGTTGTCGGAAGCCCATTACCAGCCAATAACATAATAGCCTGAGCCTATAAACATTGATAAAATAATAATAATAATAATTGTTAAGACTCGAACTCTGGTTCTATTGTGCTCCCATATTTTTCAGTTAAAAATGCATTTCTAAAACACGCTTTTATAAAATGACGGTTTTAACTGGATGATGATATTTGGCATTTTACTTACCATTGGATGATGCATTGGTCCTGGTGATATAAATATGGCTTGGACGGTTCGTTTGGCAATAGATTTTCATTTTCTTCTGGCCTTTCGTCTTTGAGAGAGCTCTCTTCGTCTCTGTTGCTACAGTTTTCTAATTTGTCATTACAGTTTGAACTTCTCATTCGAAGTGATGATTTTGATGTTTTAGCCTTAGAATACATGTGTTTTGTTGAGTGAAAATTTGTAAGAACAAGAGAGTTCTTATTTTTTGAGTTTGTGAAGGAGATCTATTGATTCTTGTGTGATTCAAGTTAGATTTGTTGGTTTCTTATGAAGAGAGAAGTCTCTTGTACTATACTCTTGTATTGGCTGTACATTTGTAACCTTCGTTGTCAGTTTTAAGGGATATTAGTGCAGCAGAGCTATATCCATTCTTGAATGGATGCTAAACGGAGGATTAGGTGTTAAAGGGTCACCGGATTCTTGGGGCTACGGCCAAAAAATCTTCTGTATTCAATCTTTTAATTTTTGCAAGTTTTACTTTCTGTTGCTTTATTAATTAAACGTATCTTGTGATTAATATCATGTGTCTGTTCTTTCAATAATAATAATAATAATGAGAAAAAGAACAGCACCAAGAAAGCATCTGAAGATCTTAGAAGATATACCATACCTTCTCCGGATTAACATTCTCATAAACACACACGGAACCCGCATAAAAGATGGTGAGCTGAGAGGGGGTCCCTGAGGGTGTCGAAGCATTCCTAAAAAAAAAAACAGATCCGTCTCAGATTCATGATTTTTCTTTTATTAGAAAGAATTACTTTCGTTTCGTGCCTTCTGACATACCTTAAATCAGTGGTACCCACTACAGAACTGCCTGAGGGAACAAAGTGGACGGGATTTTGTATTGAATTTTCCAAAGGAGGCTGCAGGATTGCAGTACCAATCAGATTCTGTCGAGCAGTCGAAATGACAGACTGGTGAACAGGATTGCTAGCGGCTGATGTAATTGTATGTGCAAATAAGTGCTGCCCGGGATAGGTTGCCATTGTATAAAGTCCACCTTGCTTTTCAGGAATAACATTTTCCTGAGCACGAAAAATGAAAAACCAGTGAAGATGTGAATAAATAAAGGAAGAGTAGTCATCTAAAAGTTAGAAAGGAGGCAGCAAGAAAACCTGCACAACACCAGAGTATGGTTTGAGACTAGAGTCGGTAGCATCAGCAGTTGTAATGGTCACCAATCGAGTTGACGAGAGTGAATCAAAACCAGTTTTCAACTTGTTTTCTGGAGTTCCTTGAAAAGATAAGACCTGTGGAGCAGAAACCTTGCTCGAGAATGACCACTGCATTGCTAAACTTCTTGCCGGACCTAAATAATCAAAATACGACACAAAATGCTACTAATAAATCACATCGATCTATAAAACTTCCTGCTATAATGACCCTTTGTTATTTCCACACAGATCTGTTATGATCTAATTACCGAACAATTCACAACTAATCAATAAATTGATAAAGGCAGGTTTCAGAAATGGTATAAAAAACGAAAAAAATAATATTATAAATTTGAATTACATGTGACAATTGTACAATAACTCAATCATGGTTACATAATTTATTGATCAACACAAAAAGAAAAGATTGATAGACATCTCATGCACATGATAATACACAATTATTGAATTAATTAAAGCAGAGCAAGTAAAAAATATGTAAAACCATCTAATCAAAACAGTATAAAAATATATCACTACACAACTTGGAATTATAAAATTACCCGTCGAGCCCGGTTTAGCATAATTTATTCCTTTTTTGATGGGAGGAACATAATTTATTAAAAATGTCAGTAACTTCTTGAAACTAATGCTTAAAAAATAAAATGAATAATGGGCTAATGAGGTGCAGCACAAGAAGCATGAAATGAAATATAAAATTTGAAGGAACTGTTCAAACATAAGCAATGTTACTTAATATTGTCCGTTTTATTGCAAAGATAGAATTAAATTACCTAAAAAACGAATTTCAGAGAATTAAATTACCTAAAAATCATTTTCCTAGGAATTGTAAATTATTGTGTTTGATTGATATAATTTTTCACGTGAAAATTATTGAAATAAAAGTATTTTTTTATATTCGTTTGGCTTTGTTTTAAATAAAAATTGTCAATTAAAGTAATAGAATTTATTGGTATTGGAGTTGAAATTTATTCTTATTGTCAAAACCCAAAAAAGAAAAAAAAAATTACATGAAAATTGTCCATTAAAAAAAATATTTTTTTACAATAATTCTTAAAATTTATTTCCATTCTAAAAAAAAATCCAAAAAATAAAAAGAAAAGCTGGAATTCAAATTCCCACCATTTTGATGAGAATTGAAATTTCATCAACAGAAGGAAAATGTTGATGTAGCGACAATTGGTGAAATTTCAGTTTCATTTTCTAAGGAAAACAAGGGCCAGGTCCTAATATCAAAAATAGAGAAATATTTAATTATTCATTTGAATGATTCTCGCAGAGCATGAAAAATACAGCTCCAACATTAATCGACTCAAAGAATAACAAGGCAAAAAGCTATAAAAAATACAAAATAAAAAATAAAAATAAAAATCAAACAAACAAACAAAAAAAAAAACCTTTAACATAAATTCGGTAAAAATGAATAATCTTGTTAATTAAAAAAATGACTTGAAATCCCTTGTTTCTTTTTGCCTTTTTGAGCTTACATATGGCAACATAAAATATTAAAGTACAAACTAGAGTTGTTCTTAATTTAAAGAAGAATACCAAAACGAAAATAAAAAGAAAAAGAGTACCTGGATCAGTAGTGTCATCAGGAGTCCCTTGTTTCACAGTAAAGCCCAAGAAATTTCTTTCCATTTTCAATACTAATTCTCCGCCTAAGAAAGAACTCGAGGAAAAAATAAAATATCAGGTAAAAAGAAGTGGAAATTATCCAACGAAATTCTCTCTTTCCCGGTTATAATATAAGGACAAAGGAGGAATTTAGCAGTTTGTTTTAGGGTAAACAATGGAGAAATTAAGAAGCTATTTTTGGCTGTGAAGTTTGCTTTCTTGTGAGTGAGACAGAAAATGAGAGAGACGGGATTTTGAATCAAAACTAATCTCCCACCATGACTCTGACTCCGAGTTAGCCTTGTTTAGCTCCCGTTGAATGGTTATTTACAATGGATATATTTTTTTTTTGAATAGTAACTTTTTAGAGAACGGGAGATTAAAAAACATAAAAAAAATTTGAATTTATGTGAAAAATATTTATTATATGAATATGTGGTTGAAATGAGTATAAAAATTAAAGAGTTTTATTTTATAAAGGAAGGCAAACAATGGACTTAATCCCTTTCTCTAAAATTTCTTTTTTTTTTTTTTAATTTATTTTCAGTCATACATTCTTTATGTAAACTTTAAATTTTTTTCTATGTTTTAGTCAAATATATTTTTTAAATATCGCTATTATAAAATTCATATTTAATAAGAATAGACTGATATCATGTTTTAAATGTGGTCAAATGAAAAAAAAAATTAATAATATTTATGAAGATAGGGTATTTGCATGTACGTAGGTCTTTTTATTGAGAAGGCAAAAGACGACTTTAGTTCACAATGAGAATGATGGTAGCAAAAAAATAGGTTCTTAGCTATTTGCGCTATTTCTATAATTGCATAGTGTTAAGTAATATATATATATATATATATATATATATATATATATATATATATATATATATAGGGAGAGAGAAAATAAGATAAGAAATAGAGTGTCAAAATTCAATTGTATATTATTATGAACCAATGTCCTTTTTTATACGGCCTAAAATCAGAATTACAATTGAAATGAAATAGATTTTTTAGATAAAATAAGACTTATCTATGTATCATAATAATACTAAATAATCATCAATAATAATCTCATTATTTTACAACACTCCCCATTTGATAATTATTTGTACAATAACTATCTAATTGAAACCATGTTTGACAAAAAAAACTCGATGGGACAAAAATGCCAATAAATGAAAAAGAAACAAATAATTTAGAGTAATAAAATATTGTTTCGTTAAAACTTTGTCAAGAAAATCCAATGTTACAAAACTTGATCGAAGGGGAAAAAAAAAGTGTAGCTACTCCCCTTAATTTCAATTCTTATATCAAGCTATTCATGTCTCGTACATTAATATTTTCAATATTACAATTTCTAGTTAAGTATGTCTCATGTTGTCTTGCATAATTTTCAAAGAACACTGTCTTCATAAGAGATATTTTATCTGCGTTTAATCAGTGTAGTAACATGATGATTCAAAAAATAGCTCTTATTGATATCTTCAGAGTCTCACATAAGAGTATACTTCTTGAGGGTAAATACCTTGTAGGTTAAGGACATCATTATAAAAAGAATATGCCTCATGAAAATCTTATTAGGAAAAATCCTGTGGGAAAAATCCTAATGAATGAAAAGGAGTACATTATTCTTTTGAATATGTTACAAAAAATTGTCTCATTAAAAACCTTGTTATAAAAATCAAATGGGACAAAATCTTGATAAAAAAAAAAAGAATATTTCACGTATTTACTCCCCATTATGATAATATCACTTGAAGTATGCTTCAAACATATTAAATCCTTCAAGAATAGTATTAAATTTGTATGTAAGATAAGTTGACTATAATCACATTTATTATATGCATATCAAATTTCATGCATTATCACTCTAATAGAGACTTATGATTACATCCACCACATGATAATTTATCTATTTATATAAGTATTTATGACATTTATTATGTAAAAATGTCGTATATTTTCATATTACGACTTTACTTTTGTCATTTTCATTTCGCATAAGTATATACATTTTGGTGTTCGGACTGGATATCCAAAAACTTTAGGTTTCTCTAGTAAAATTAATTTAGAATGATTGTGTCATTTCCTTCAACCAATCATTACTTCGATTGATAACATCCTCATTCATAATATAATGTAGTACATCGCTTGCAAAAGTATTGTCGATAATTTTTCTTTTTCGATTATATTTCTTTTTCCGTAATGAAATATTTTATTGAGATGCCTCAACTTTCAATATATCAGGTACCTGAACCTCTTTTAAGATTTTATAATTTGTTATTTATAAATACTCATCAAGAGTATATGCCTCCTTAATTGGGACCATCTTTACTAATTTCTCCATCTTCGTTCGAAGATTTTTTGTACTAGAATCGAATACCACCATGTTTCAAGCGTGCCACAAATATATCAAATATAATACTATCAAATTGTTCTTCTAAGATATCAATTCATATTGGAACATTTAAAAATGGTGCGTGAAATATTATTGATCCCTTTGATCAGTAAATGCATCTAAATAAATTATATTTCGAACTTCTGGTTCGAATGATATTGTCTGAGGATTAAGATGATGATGTATTTATACATTATTTTCAATTTCTTAATTCGTCCCTTCTAATGCTGAAAAAATTGTCTAATCAAATTGACAATCAGTAATTTGCGCTATCAAATATCACACATTCAAGATAAGGGTTAAAATTACGCATTTATTCTCAGTATTCTTTATTTTTCATCTCATTGCATTGTGGTAGTTTAATTTTACATATACTATACTATCGAAATAATTAGATAAAAAAATTAAGCTCTGACCATAGGGAGAGCTGTGATATTAGCATGATACGTAATGGAATTCCTCAAGCAAAAATGGGAAGTACCTTGCTCTCAATTAAATTAATTGGGGACATTTAACAAACAATAATGTCCAACCATTTATCGAGATCTCAATTAACACTTATTACAATGTTGAGATTTATATCAACTAGTATTAACAAGACACGATCTCGAATATATAATCTGAAAATTATGCTTACAATTTAGAATTTGAGCAGTAATTTTGCAAACTTATGTTGCGACCATCATGCAATCATCTAATATATGTTTCAAATCTATTAGATACAAATAATATGTAGATGATCAACGTGAAAGATGATGAGATCCCATTTATCACCCGAATCGATTTTTAGAAATATAGGAAATTCAATCCCAATTTTAGCTAGTGATAAAAAAAAAATCATGAAAGAGATGAACATCATATATAATTTAATTGAAGAATCTTCTGATCTTTATTAAATATCCAATTGAATTTTTAATTTCGCTTCATTATTGATCTAGTAATTATCCAACAGGTCATGCTTATCAAATTGAACTTCTGGTTTAATATAAGATATAATTCAGTAATTTAATTTTGAAGAATATGATTAAACATTATATAGTCGTATAATGATCAATGTCCATATCACATAAATCATATGTTTTTCTTTAAGGATAAACGCAGATTTATAAATTACACATGATATATTCTTGAAAATATGTGCTATTTTAAGAGCACGTTGTATTTTATTATCGCGTCTTTAAAAGCAATATCAATTTTCCTCTTACATATTAGAATCGTAGTGTTATTTATCGTATTCAAGAGCAATAACATATTATTATTTGAAATAATAAATTATATAAGAATTTACTTTTCAAGAGTAAAAATACAATTTACGTTAAAACGTATTTAATTATGCTCTTCAAGAGCAAGTAACGTCTAGCTAAAATATTTGTCAATAATATTGTGCTATTTCAGGAGTAATAATATTTCTTTTAGAATATTAACAACTTCAATCTATTTTAGGAACACCAATAAATTATTGTTTATTAAAAACATTAACGCTTCATTAGTATATTTTCTAAACAAATATTAATATTTGCAGAATTTTACTTCTTTGAGAGTACTTTTTATTTTACTATTACTTTTTCAGTAGTAATAAATCAATATCTTTATTTGAAATATTAAAAATTATAATTCATGCTTTTCATGAACAATATGTCAATATTCTTCTAGAATATTGAAAATTATAATACATACTCTTCATGAACAAATAATATTATTCTAGGATATTAATAATGTTGTGTTACTTTAGGAGTAATAAAAGATTATTATTTAAAAGCATGAATTCTTCAGGAACATGTTTTCTAATAAAATATAAATATTTTGCATAGTAATGCTTTTTCAGAAGCAATTATATTCTTTTAGAATATTAACAGTGTTGTGCTACTTCAAGAGCACCATCAAATTATTTTAACAGAGAGACACCAGCATACTAAATTTATAAACTATAATGTGTATTTTAAAAAAAAGGGAATGTGATAATTAATCGAACAATAAAAAAGAAACAAACAATTAAATACATCACGTGCAAATTTTTTATTAAAAAATAATTAGCATATATATATATATATATATATATATTTTTTTTTTTTTTAATTATAGAATCAATTACTTGTTGCATGAGTATCAATTTTTGATTTGTCTATTGCATTGAACCTAGCTAGAAGGTTTCACGATGATTAAAGGTGATATATTTCAACATCCCATAGTCCAAATACTTCTGTTTTTATTTCCAGAAAATCCCTCTGTAAATTGGATAACTTGCGAGCAAAAATCTACCATGAAACCTGAATACAATATATACACGTGATAGTCAATTCATCCACTTTCAATGTCCCCTTTTTCAAAATTTTCAAGATGCATGTATATATGTATACTAGAGATAAAAAAAAAAAAATAGATTTGATCGAGAATCAGAGAAAAGAATTCATTTGCCTGGACAAGCTTCAAGTATTGAGATCATCGTGTTGATAATGTGTTATAAAACTAAAGGAAAGAGAGAAAATAACATAAGAAATAGAGAGTCAAAACTCAATTGTATATCATTATGAACCAATGCCCTATATTTATAGGTCCAAAATAAGAGTTACAATTGGAATGAAATAAATCTTCTAGACAATATACAACTTATATATGTATCATGATAATACTAAATAATCATCAATAATTATCTCATTATTTTACAACAGATAAATTGTTATTCTTTATTTCATCCATGTCAATAATTCATATTAACTCTATAAGCATACTAAAAATAGATTTTTAGTAAATTTTGATATAATTTAATGGAATGTGTGGTTGAAAAGTTATGGATCCCATGATATATATGATTAAAAATAATTATTAATTTTAACTTGAATTTTAGTCCATATTTCTAACTAAACAAACAGGGTACAGATTACACAAAATAATGAAAGCA